CTAAGAGAATTCCATGCATTTGTCAGCGTTTTCTTTGATCCCTCATTCGGTAAAATAGAAGCTTATGAACTTTCCCACCTTAACCCTGAAGGTGCATTTCTCTAGGTTGAATCTCACGTGGCATCGCCTTTCTTTGTCGAAGTCTCTTTTTACGTGGGCTGCATAGCCGATTTCTGCTCGGGACTTGATGATCATGTCATCCTTGTATACTTCGAGCGTGTCCCTGATATCACCATGGAAGACTTTGTTCATCATCCGCTGGTACATTGTGCCCGCGTTTTTTAGGCCGAAGGGCATTAAATTATATTAGTAATTTCTCGACTTGGTCATGAAAGTCGTTCTCTGTTTGTCTGTCATCGCTATGGGATTTTGATTATAACCAGAATATGCATCCATAAATGATTAGAGTTTATAGTCGATCGAGTTGTTGACAAAAATGTGAATATTAGGTAAAGGATATGCATCTTTGGGACATGCCTGGTTGAGATCAGTATAATCGACACACATACGCCATTTTCCATTATTTTTCTTAACAAGTACAACATTGGAGATCCAGGTTGAATATCGGGCCTCAAAAATAAAATTTGCCTCTAGGATGTCTTTTACAGCTTTTTCAGAAGCTTTCGCTTATTCGAGAGACTGCTTATGCCTATGTTGAACTACTGCCCTAGTGTCCAGGTCTATAGCGAGCTGGTGGCAGGTGACCTCAAGGCCGAGCCCTGGAATTTATGTAGTGCTCCATGTGAAGAGGTAAGCATTCATCCTCAGGTAGGCTTCGAATTGGTTCCTCTCCAAATCGGGGAGTCTAGCTCCAATATTCACGCCTCTGTTTGGGTCCTTGCCAAGGGGGATGATTTCGAAGTCTCCATCGGGGATGGGATGAAGAGGATCTTGTTCACCATTGGGGGCTTCGACTTCATCCTTGGTGAATCAGGTGTCTAGTTTAATGGAGCCTATATTGGGTGGAGCCTCCTATTCTTCGGCTTGAGCGGGCTTGTCTTCCAAGGAAGTCGTTATTGTCGAGGAGGTTGCTCCGTTGGCAGCTCGTGGTTTTGTATCGACCATGTTCTGCCCCTTGGAGGCTGCATTGAAACATCTTTTGTCCACTTTGGTGTCTTTGTGGATGGTGGCGAAACGACCCCTCTTTGTGTAGAACTTCATCTTCAGGTGGATCGTGGAAGGTACAACAGTCAACTCGACCAGTGCCGGCCTCTCTAGGATGCAATTGTAGAGAGAGGGGCATTCAACCACAACTCGATAAACTTCCTTTTCTATGAATTCATAGAAAATCTGATGAATCCTGTCGGATATGACCATGGCAGAGGGAAATTTTTCCCATCTGTTGTGGGTAAGTAAGGGCTTCTCGTTGTCGATGTTGTCGGGGATGTAAAAATCCTCGGGTCGCAAGATGTTTAAAGCAACTTGGAGGGGGCCAGCCTCGTCATAGGGTCGTGTTTCCTCCTCGATCTCCTTTACCTCGCAATTATCACAGAGAGGGGCGTCACTCCTTCTATATTGCCCGAGTCTCTCTTCCTTGATGAGGGTCTCAATGGCGTCCTTCAGGTGGACGCAGTCTTTAGTGATGTGGCCATGAATTCGGTGGTATTGGAAGTATTTGGACATGTCAACCTCTGGCTTGAGAGATGTAGGTTTAGGTCGTCTAAACCCGTGATCCTTGAACTCAGCATTAGCATACTCCGTGAGGATACACTCGTAGGGAGCAGTCAATAGGGTGTACTCGGTGAAGCGTCTGACTGAACCTCTGTGCTCGCGGGGGTTGTTGGGTCTTTCTTTTTTCTCTTCTCCCTGGTTCATCGAGATTGTCATGCATCATTGTGCCTCAGGGAACTAGGTGTTTCGCGGTTCCTACAATCGCGAGAGTTATTGGCGGTCTTCTTTTATTCGTACGTGATGTAGGCCCGATCTTTATAGAGGATTTCATCTAATGACCGGGGAAGCTCGATGCTGACTGCCTTTTGGAAGTCGCTTCTCGGGAAAAGGCCTTGTTCGAGTAAGAACCTCTTTATATGGTCGGTAGTGGGGACTTGGATGGCTGCGTGGTTAAATCGTTCAATGTATGCTATGAGATGCTCGCCGCTCCCCTGAATAATCGCCTCAAGGGACGCCTCAGTCTTTGGGTGTCGTCGAGAGGCTGTGAAGTTTCTGGAAAACTTTCTCTTCAGGATATTCCACGAGGTGATGGACTCGAAGGAAGGCTTTTGTACCAGTCCATCGCAATTTTCCTCAAAGTTGTGGGGAATAACCTGCACTTGATAGCTCCCCCGGTGTTGTGGAAGTGGAGCATTGCCTCGAAGTTGTCGAGGTGGTCGTCGGGGTCTGTAGCGCCATTGTAGTTGTTCAAAGGTGGAAGTTTCTCCATCCCCTTAGAAATAAGAGCCTCCATAATAGCTTGGGATAGTGGACCGTGGGGGTCGTCTTCATTGCTTCATTCTGGGGAACAAGACGGGGAATGGTCAAAATGATGGTCTCTTCTACAGGGAGAGATCTTTGCCTGAGTTCTCTTCTCTTCCTTGCCCTTACTCCTTCGATGAGAATGGGATCGTCTCTCTTTGCGTAGAGGCATGTGATCATGCTTCTTAATGATTTTGGGCTGGGTCCTTTCCAGTAGAGGGCCTTTCCCGGTACGGCAAGGAGAAGAGCTGCGAGAGTCCTCTCGTTGGTGTCTCTGTGGAGGAGATCGCGAACAAATTTCATGTTGTCGTGGAGTTGGGATATGTGAGTCATATCTTCTGTGATTTTCGGGGGGATCTTGACCTGCAGGTCTTCTCTAACATTGTGAGGTGTTCACCCTGCGCGAAGAGCATGTAGTTGGTATGATTGAGTGTCGCAATCTGGGCCTGGGTCGAGAGATCAGTATTAGCGGGCACTGGGATTTCCTAGTACATGGTGGGTTGCTTGGCCTACTGGTGAGGGCCATCCAGGGGATGTGGGCAGGTGGAAGAGGAAGCAGTTCTTCCGTCCTTGATTTCGTGCTCGAGAATGCCAATATTGTTGTTGTTGTTGTTGCCAAGGTCAGCAAAGTGAGCATTCTGGTCACCGTTGTTGGCTTGAGTGGCCATGATAATCGTGAGGTTGAAATAGTTTTATTTGGTCTTAGTTAGGAAAATACGGGGAAGCAGTGATTTCCATAGACAACGCCATTGATCGTACCTGATCAGAAGGGATCGTTGATGGCCCACAGGCTTGGACTGAGAGGTTGTTAGAAGTGAAGTGGGAGGGAGGGTACCTGCAAGATTCTCTGATGCTAAATTAAGTACTTGAACAAGAATTCGAGTAGAGAGTTTTTGAGTAGTAATAAATTTACATGACCCTCTTGTATGAGAGGGTTTTATAGCCCCTAGTGCTAGGCCAAGATCTACGTATTGAATCAGATAGTTAGGCCCAATAACAAAGACTGTTAGGGTTACGAGAGTAGTGGAAACCAACATGTAACCTCTTCCCTAGTCAACTGCTCTGAGATAATAGGGGAGTTATGGACCCGTTATTCTCGGTGGGCAGGATGATGATAACTCCAGATAACTGTTGGCCACGTCTCCTTGGTGGACACGTGGGAAACTCCCCAACGATTACAGACTTGAGTCATACATTATTAGGCCACAATAAAGACGTTGGATTGAGCCTGCTCGACGATGGGACAAACGCAGGCCCAGTCCAAAACTTGATTTACAAACACTTAAAAATTATTTTTTTCTTATAACTATATCAATTTTTTCTTCATGAACACTTTTACAACAAAAGAAATTATCCAAAAACCCGTTGAATTTTAAAGGGGACGGTAACCTTAATAGTAAAATTGTTTGTCCAAATTCTATAATGGACTACTCATATATATATGGTTTTAAAAAATTGACTAACACGATAAAATGTTAAATAAAAGTGTTGATATTATTATTATTCGCTATTTTTGTGTTGAGAAAGAAAATCACATACGAAAAGTCGCTACAACTGTGGCAAAACACATTTACAGTTGTGTAACACTATTTCATCTATTAAATGTTGTTACCACATTATTAAAGACGGAGAATTTCCAGACAACAACTTGAAAATACAAATTACAAAAAAAAATATTCTTTATTAAAATTATGATTAATTTATATCACAACGACTGTAATCTAATATTCGTGTTGATCGAAATTGTAAAAGACTTTATGTGACAGCAATGCAATACCACCATGTTATTTAAAATCTTGCTCATATATATTTGATTATAACATCAAATTTATGTACTAATTTTTAAGAGCATCTCCAATAGTGCTACTCAACTTTGGGCTTTTTGTGGGACCCATTAAGTCACGTCAGTTTGAAGCAACTCAACTAGTTTTTCACTCAAATGGTGCAATTCTAAAGAACTCGTATTGGGTCACACAACTTTACTTTATATGTTATTAATTAAACTTATTATTTTAAATGATAATTAAAATTAATTTCAAATACATGGCATATAATTAAAAACAATAAAAATAAATAACATCACATAAATTAATCAAACTTAAATTTCATCGTCTTCATGTTTAAAATGTTCCCAAATATACTCGACTAGATCTCCTTGAAGTTGACGATGAACTTGTTTTTCACGAATATTTTCTCTTCTTTGTAGTCTTGTTTCAAGATTCGGATGAAGACCGCTAAATGATTCAGTTGTTAAGTTGTTGTTATCCACATTATCATAAGTGTAATCAAAATTATCTCCATATGTATGTCGTTCATCTTCAACAATCATGTTGTGCAATATGATACACAGATATATGGTATGTTTGAGGGTGGTCCATGTGCCAGGTACACGTTGGGCCACGTATAATTGTAAATCGAGATTGAAGCACTCCAAATGCCCTCTCCACATCTTTTCTAGCTGATTCTTGATGTTGAGAAAATAATTTTTTTTCTTCTCTCCTTGTGGCATTGAAATGGAAATATTCATCATGATTTCCAAGGGCATCTACAATTCGAAGAAATACATGCCTATGCATTCTGAACCTTCTTCAAAATTGAACATCTGTATGTACTGGATTTTCTGAGAAGTAGTCATTGAATAATCGATTATGCTCTTCTTCGCGACTTCGATCTACCACTGTTCTTCTCTTTGGCATAGAGGAACTTCCAGATTGATGTTCATCATTACTGTCGTCCATAAATTCTTCTTCAACCAACTCCCAAAATTCTTGGTCAAAATCATCTGAATTGTCTGAATCCATTTTAGTGACTAAAGAATGAGAGAAAAATGATAGAAGAATTAGAGAAGTATAAGAGAAGAATAAGATGATAATGAGAAAACAATGATATAAATGGTAGTATATATAATGGTTTGTATAACGACTAGTTTGAATAACGACTAGTTTGAATAACGGCTAGTTTGAATAACGGCTAGCTTGTTATAACGGTTTGAATAATGGCTAGTTTGAATAACGACTAGTTTGAATAACATAATATTTATTATAACTTAAAGTGGTATGAATGACCATTTTACATAGGTATTGATAAATTAAAGCGGTACTAATGACCATTTTAGATAAATGATATTAGCTACATTCCATATATTTTTTTCATCTTATTACAATATTTTTCATTAATATCTTGTTGATTATCGCGCATAGTAGAAGTGTCTTTCATCATGATTTGCATTACCTTTAATTCTATCTAACCCTCCTTACGTTGCGCTAGTCTTTCCATTGTCGTTGTTCTTTTATTTCTTGCATCTTGCGTTGTAGTTGGAATTTCATTTGCCTTACCCTTCCTTTTTGCTGCTTTTTGTCCCATTGGACGCTCCATTGGTGATAATGAGTTAAACTCATAACTTGAAGGTGTATCTAGGTTCTCCGATGATGCCCCACTAGCAGAAGTCTTTGTTCTTTTTGAAGAACTTCCTATCGATTCTTCCATACATTTAGGTTCATCTTTTAACAATCGCCATGCGTACTCAAGATTGAATATTGTACCTTGATCCAGAGCAAAAAAAAGCATGTGCAATGGCCATGATATCATTCTCTGATGTCCCACTTTTTTTCCATTAACAGCTTGTTTGTAACACCCAACAAATTTTTGAACCAAGCCATTTATTCGATGTCATCAACATTTTAATTGTCCCCCTAACTTTTCCTGCTCTTACCCACGATACTGGTTATAATTGGCAGCGATTCTTAACCAAAAACTCTCAGCCTTTTGATCAACTCCCACATTGGATCCTTTGAAACATTGAGTCTTGATTGGATAAGTTGTATATCCTCATCCCTTGTAAATTGCTCTCGAGATTTTTTTTAACAACAATCCTTTCTTCTTTTTCAGTACCAACTTGAGTAGAAAATGATGGAACTTGAATAAAAAATTTCATACTATTAGAATTCATTTCAGGTCTAAGAAACATATTTGGATTGTTTGGTGACGGAAAAAATATGGCGGGTTTGGTGGTACCAATGAAATTTGAGAAGTTTGAGGATTAGGATTTTGATAATTTTACATGTAATTGAACATAGTTTGTTGATAATGAAAATGATTAGGGTCCATTTGGCTTAAACAATTGTAATTTGAAATAAAAAGATAAAATTTAGGTTAAATATTTTGTCAAAAGAAGGCTAATAAGAAGAAATTGTTGGGGAAAAAATTAAAGTTTATGAATAAAATGATGAAATTGTGAGAGAAAAATTTTAAAAATTGAAGAGAAAATAAAAGTGAGAGAAAATTGTGTTGGTAAAATTTTTTCTAAAAATTATATTTATAATAAAAAAATAAGTTTAAAAAAAAAGTAAATAACTGTTACACGAAATTGATGAAATGCCGTTGCATATTTTTAATCCGTTGAATAGCTGTAGCAATATTTTGGTCAAAAAATTTACTGTCACGTTGGCAAACCATGATGAAAAACCTCCACTGGAGGTGGCCTAAGAACCAAAAGTAAGTTTAAAAGATACTACGAGAAGTTAATGAAAGAGCGTGATGACGAGAGAGATGACAAAATTGGCTGGCTTTTGCTTAAATTAGGGTTGGAGAGGGTAATAAGTTAAGTAATTTAGTATAGTATGTAGTACTAGCTGTCAAATAAAGTATAGTATATACAACTAAATAAGTTAATATAACCAATCAATAAGCATTACTTTTGGGTACGGAAATTTTGTTTGAGTTGTTTGGTGGATTGTGGAGTCACCACAAAAAGTTGGGTCTGGATATACAAAATTAAAGAGAACGTTAGCTACTAATCAAGAATCTTACCAATAAATTATTTGTATAAGCTCCATGCCAGCCAATCAAACTAGTATGCGAGCTTCCTTAGATTCTGATTAACTAATCAATATTTAGAAGTATATACATGATATATTGATTGATGTTGGACTTGTATCGAGAACCATAATTCAATTCTTTGCAACTAAATTAAAAAGTAGTTGGAATACTTGATACTAGAATTTGTTGGAAGATACACAAACTATGAATCAATGGAGGTAAAAGTGATTATTGGAGAAGATGAAAATAAGAAAATAAGAGAGAATAAAATGAGAGTGAGGAGAAAATTATTATAAAATGGCATTAATTAAATACATTATATTTGAGGGTTTTTATATATGACATTATAAATATGTTGGAAAATAAAACAACTCAAAAATAAGTTAAAAAACCCAAAACACGGACTCGTAAACGATTACACAAAACATCATAATCGATTACGCCTCCAAAACCAGAAAATCAGAACTGAAAATTGTCTTCGTAATCTATTAATCCCATGAAAATGTCACTCCCTGTATTCCAGAAGTGCTTATTTTTTAAATTGGTTCCTCCAATTTGCTCTCAGAAACTTATACAATGCATTTGAATTACTTTGTACATCCAATATACCTCCTTAACTCAAATGCTCCAAGTTCTCTATGCCCAAGTTCTTCTTTAACTTCTTGAACACATCATGTGTGACCCTTTTTGTCAACAAATCTGCAACTTGTTCCTCGCTTCGACAATATCCCAATCTCAACTTGCTTTCACTCACCAGATTCCTCAAGTAATAAAACTTCATCTCAATATACTTGCTCCTCCCATATGAAATGAGATTCTTATCAAGGTTAATGGCTGAAATATTATCAACCAAGAGTGTGACAGTTTCTTCAACATTGTTGCCCAGCTCTCCCATCATATTCTTAAGCCACACGACTTGACACACACATAACGACACATCGATATACTCAGCCTAACAAGAAGATAATGCAACCACGAATTCCTTTTTAGAACACCAAGAGATTGACGCTCCTTCGAACATAAAGATATAACCAGTCGTAGATTTTCGATCATATTTAACTCCGGCCAATTAGAATCAGTTTAACCAAGCAAATCACATTTTCTGCCCGTATCTGAAGCGGGAAAGAGAATTTCGCAGTCAAGAGTTCCTTTGACGTATCTTAGGATCCTCTTAATTGCTTCCAAGTGAGTTACCTTCGGTCTCTCCATGAATCTACTCGTAATACCGACACTAAACGTCAAATTTGGCCGCATATTGCATAAGTAACATAATGATCTAATCAATCTCCTATATTGCGTTAAATTCACGTTCTGTCCATCATCACTTTTGAACATCTTCAACCTTGCTTCATCAGGTGTATTGGAAGCATTGCAATGCTCCATATCAAACCTTTTCAAAATCTCAAGAGCATACTTTCTTTTATGCATGAGCAGTCCCATTTTTGACTTGTAAAACTCTATGCCAAGAAAGTAAGTCATGATTCCAAGGTCACTCATTTCAAATTCTCCCATAAGTTCACCCTTGAACTTAGATATACTCAACCCATTGCTTCCCGTGATCAATAAGTCATCCACATATAAGCAAAATATGATCACATCTTTGCTTGCATCCGTCTTCACATAGACACCATGCTCAGAAATATATTTTTTTGAAGCCAACATTAAATAGGAAATCATCAATGTGTTTATTCCAAGCTCTAAGATCTTGTTTCAAACCATAAAGAGCTTTCTTCAATTTGTATACCCCCTCCCTCTTAATTTGTCACAACAAAATCAGGGGGTTGTTCTACAGAAACTTCCTTCTCAAGTGGATCATTCAAAAATGCGGGTTTCACATCCATTTGATAAATCGACAAATTGTTGTTATTCGCAATACTAACAACCAGCCGTATGGTTTCTATCCTAGCAACAAGTGCAAACACCTCATCAAAGTCTACACTTTATCTTTGCAAAAAACCCCTTCGCAACTAGTTGAGCTTTATGATTGAGTATTTCACCTTTGGGATTTGTCTTCATTTTATAGATCCATCTCACACCAATTGACTTCTTTCATTCCGGTAGATCAACCAACTCCCAAGTACTTTTTTCTCAATCCGTTACAGCTGCTCTTTCATCGTACACATCCAATTTAGATCACTTAATGCCTCTTCTGTGCTAACAGGCTACGATTCGTCCATAAGCGTAAAGTGAACGAAATCACCATCATCATTGATTTCTTTATCACAGAATACTTCACAATATTGGAGTCTATGAGGCAAACCTCTTTTCCTAATTGGTCGTCTACTATTTTCTCCATTTTTATCTAAATCAGGTTGTTGTTTGGAACCACCTACAACAACCTGATTTTCTGAATTTTCATTGTTGTAATCGATTACAAGATTCTCGTAATTGATTACACCAATTGTCAGTTATACCAATTGTCAAACCAAATTTTTGTTGTTGAAGCGCCTCAGTTTATCGACTACCATATTCTGACTATTCACAATCTTCTTGTTTGCAACATCAAACAACTTATAACCTGCAGTAGCATGATAACCAACAAGAAACATCATCTCACCCTTGCCATTAAACTTATTTCGAAGCTGACCCCAGAATGTGTTGAAATGCTATTGAACTGAAAACTCTCAAATTACTTAAGCTTGGTTTAAGTACATACCATACCTCTTTTAGAGTCACCTTATCAAGCTTATTTATAGGTGACCTATTTAACAAATAGGTGGTTGTAGAAACAACTTCACACCATAGTTCCTTCCGCAAGTCTTTTCTCTTTAACATGCTTCAAACCATGTTCATTGAATAATTTTTCCTCTCGGCAACACCATTCTGTTGTGGCGTATAGGGTGGCACAATCTCAAACATTATCACTTTTTCATCACAATACTTCCCATACTCATTCGAGGTGTATTCACATCTACCATCAGTTTTGAGAGTTTTGAGTTTGTGACCACTTTACCGGTCAACCATGGAATTGAATTTTTTGAACACATCAAATACCTCATCCTTTTTATTGATTAGGTATATCTATAGTTTTCTACTAAAATCATTGATAAAAGTGACAAAATACATATTGCCTCCATACGAGTCGACTTGCATTGGATCACACACATCAAAGTACACCACCTTAAAGTGATGTTTGGTCTCATGACATGTATCCTTGTTGAAACTACTATTGTGTTGTTTTCCTTGCAGACATTCTTCATATATCTCAGCTGGAACATTGATTTTTGGCAACCCGGTTACCATATTGTTCCTTTGTAACGCGTCGAGGTTTCGAAAATTGAGGTGTACAAGACGGTAGGGCCACAACCAATCATTACAACTTGCTGGTGTAGCAATACACCTATGCTATGTCACTTTCAAATCTATCTTGAAATTCCAATTGGCAGCCATGGTGCTTTAAGGACTAAAACCATGTTTCGCTCTAAAACACGTAAAATCTTGTTTTCCATGTAAATCATGTAATTCTTCTCAAGAAATTGGCCAATGTATAAAAGATAATAATTGATTCTTCGAATGCATAGCACATATTTGATCAAGGAATGACCCTCATCCCTTCTCATGATAAAAACATCATTGTCCCTGTCGGTCGCTAAAGTGGTATCGTCTACGAACTTCACCTTATTCTTTGTGGCTTGATTGATTTTGACAAACTCATCTTGTATACCCGTCATATGTGTTGAAAAACCAGAATCCAAGTACCACTTACCATTGCCTTGGACTGCATCTCGAACTATTACCATTATGTTTTGCTCCAAACGCATTTCTGCATC